ATATCATAGCATAGCATAGCATAGCGCAGCTAAGCATATCATATCATAGCTTAGCATAGCACAGCGCAGCATGACATAGCATATATTAGCACATCATAGCATATCATAGGATAGCATAGCGCAGCATAGTATAGCATAGCATAGCATAGCATAGCGCAGCATAACATGGCATAGCATAGCATAGCATAGCATAGCAACTAATGCTGCTTTGCTAAGGGCTCCAACTTCTAGGTAGGGTCGCACTGCGGTAATTGTTGTTCTTATTAGCATTCTTATTACCTATACGACCACCCTTCGGGTGATAAGGAGTTTGTGGGGGGGGAGAGGGAGGGGGGGGAACCAACATGTGACTCAATCGATCTCACTATCGATCTCACTCAACGGGACACCACGGGACACCACGGGACACTTGTCGATCTCATTGTCGATCTCAGTATCGATCTCACTCAACGGGACACCGCGGGACATTTCTCTATCTCACTATCGATTTCACTATCGATCTCACTATTAATCTCACTATCGATCTCACTCAAAGAGACACCATAGGACAGCACGGGACACCTCGGGACACCACATCGATCTCACTATCGATCGCACTATCGATCTCACTATCGATCTTACTCAACGGGACCACGGGACATCACGGGACACCTGTCGATCTCGCTATCGATCTCACTATCGATCTCACTCAATGGGACACCACGGGACACCAGCGGGACACCGCGGGCCACCGGCCGCCGGGGGGGAATAATTTGGTCCGGCCGCGGCCCAGCCACAGGAGCATTTCGGGACACCAGCGGGCCACCGGCGGGACACCGCGGGCCACCGGCCGCCGGAGGAGGAACATTTGGTCCGGCCGCGGCCCAGCCACAGGAGGATTTCCTCTCGCCCGCCCACGCAGCTTCGCCTCGCCCGCACACACGCACGCACAGCACGCACGACACGAACCCGAATCCGAAATCGATTCCCCGGTAGGGGGGGTCTTCGTTTCACGTCGGATTCACCCCCCCAACCTCCGATTGAGAATAATACTAATAATAAGAGCAAGGTTTGTATTGTTATCACGGATTGTAGTACTCAGAAGAAGAAGACGAATGACAATCACACTAACAACAGTATTAATGATATGAATAACACGAACAATGATATGTATCAAACTAAGAAAAATAGTCATGATAGTAAGAATACCAAGAATACGAATGCGAAGGCTAAGAACAATCAACACAATACTGATACTAATAATTTGTAAACAGCACAATAACAATATTACGCAACATAATGATACGAATAAGAAGAATAATACCAATAATAATAAACAACGAAAGCGGAACATAATACTGATAATAGGAACCATGCGAATGCATAAAGACGAAAACTACAAAGGAATAGTCATCAGGAACGGACCAATAATAATTACAATAATAAGAATCATGTAATAATAAAATATGAAAATAAGTAATAATAACATTGATACAGCGAGCCCGCAGAGCCAGAAATAAGGGAAGGGGGGGCCAAGCTTCAAGCTGCCCCCCCGCCTCCCTTACACAAGGGGGGGGAGCTTCCGAAGCTACCCCCCCCCTCCCTTCTGTAAGGGTTTCTAAACAAGGGGGGGCCCTAGCTAAAGGGGGGGGGGCTTCGAAGCTATCCCCCCCTTCCCTCCTTTTTTCCGGAGCAGAAGGTGGGCCCGGGCTTTCCTTTCAAAGGGGGGCGGGCTTCGGAAGCTACCCCCCCCTCTCCTTGTTTGGTCTGGGCACAGGGGGGCTGCTTCAAGCAATCCCCCTCCACCCTCCTTTGCAAGGGAGGGGGGGGGGCTTCCGAAGCTACCCCCCCCTCCCTCCCAAACAGGTGCGCACCGCAGCGCTAGAGAACGCATAGGAGAATAACGACGACCTCTGGTTCGTTTTCGTGTTGTCTTGTTTTCTCGGCCCCTGGTTCGTAGTCTCGTTCTCGGGCCCTGATTCCTTTTTACCGTTTTCTCGTTTTCTCGGCCCCTGGTTCGTTTTCTTGTTTTCTCGTTTTTTCGGCCCCTGGGTCGCGGTCTCGTTTTCTCTGACCCTGGTTCGTTTTCTCGTTTCTCGGCCCCTGGGTCGTGGTCTCGTTTTCTTGGACCCTGGGTCGTGGTTTTGTTTTCTCGGACGCTGGTTCGTATTCCCGTTTTCTCGTTGTCTCGGCCCCCGGGTGGTGGTCTCGTTTTCTCTGACCCTGTTTTGTTTTCTCGTTTCCTCGTTTTCTCGGCTCTTGGGTCGTGGTCTCGTTTTCTCGAGCCAAGCGTTTTCTGGTGATCTCGGCCCCTGGGTCGTGGTTTCGTCGAACCCTGGTTCGTTTTCTCGTTTTCTTGTTTTCTCGGCCCCTGGGTCGTGGGTCGTTTTCGCGTTTTCTCGTTTCCTCGGCCCCTGGGTCGCGGTCTCGTTTTCTCGGCCCCATGGGTCGTTGCCTAATGTTTTCTAGTTTTCTCGGCCCCTGGTTCGTAGTCTCGTTTGTCTCGGACCCTGGTTTGTTTTCGCGTTTTCTGCGCCCTTGGGTCGTGTTCTCGTTTGCTTGGACTTTGGTTCGTTTTCTCGATTTCTAGTGTACTCGGCCCCTGAGTCGTGGTCTCGTTTTCTCGGACCCTGGTTCGTTGTCTCGTTTTCTCGGCTTCTGGGTGCTTGTGTCGTTTTCTCGGGCCCTGGTTCGTTTTCGCGTTTTCTTGTTTTCTCGGCCCTGGGTCGTGGTCTCATGTGTCCTTGGACCCTGGTTAGTTTTCTCGTCTTCTCGTTTTCTCGGCCCATGGGTCGTTGCCTAATGTTTTCTAGTTTTCTCTGACCCTGGTTCGTTTCACGTTTTCTGGTGTTCTCGGCCCCTGGGTCGTTTTCTCGTGTTCTCGGCCCCTGTTGTTTGTCTCGTTTTCCCAGGCGCTGGTTCGTTGTCTTGTTTCCTCGTTTTCTCGGCCCTTGGGTCGTGGTCCAGTTTTCTCGGACCCCGTTTCGTTTTCTCGTTTTCTTATTTTGTCGGCCCCTGGGTCGTGGTCAAGTTTTCTCGGACCCTGGTTTGCTTGTTCGTTTTCGCGTTTTCTCTGCCCATTTGGCCGTGGTCTCGTTTTCTCGGACCCCGTTTCGTTTTCTCGTTTTCTCGGTTTCTCTGCCCTTTGGTCGCGGTTATGTTTTCTCTGACCTTGGTTTGTTTTCTCTTTTTCTCGGCCCCTGGGTCGTGGTTATGTTTTCTTGGACCCTGGTTCGTGTTCTCGTTTCTTGTTTTGTCGGCCCCTGGGTCGTGGTCCAGTTTTGTCGGACCCTGTTTAGTGTTCTCGTTTTCTTGTTTTTCCGGCCCTTTGGTCGTGGTCGCGTTTTCTCGGACGTTGGTTTGTTTTCTCGTTTTCTCGGCCCTTGGGTCGTAGTCTCGTTTTCTCGAACCCTGGTTCGTTTTCTCGTTTTCTCGGCCCCTGTGTCGTGGTCTCGTTTTCTCGGACCGATGCTTGCGTTTTCTCGCCCTGGTTCGTGGTCTCGTTTGCTCGGACCTTGGTTCGTTTTCTCGTTTTCTCGTGTTCTCGGCCCCTGGATCGTTATCTTGTTTTCTCGGACCCTGGTTCATTGTTTCGTTTTCTCGTTTTCTCGGCTTTGGGTTTTGTTTCGTTTTGATCGTGGTTTCGTTTTCTCGGGCACTGATTTGTTTTCCCGTTGACTCGTTTTGTCGGACCCTGGGTCGTGGTCTCGTTGTCTCGGACCCTAGTTCGTTTTCGCGTTTTCTCTGCCCCTCGGTCGTGGTCTTGTTTTCTCGGCCCCTGGATCGTTTTTTCTGACCCTGCTTCACTTTCTCGTTTTCTCAGCCCCTGGGCCGTGGTCTCGTTTTCTCTGACCCTGGGTCGTGGTCTCGTTTTCTCTGACCCTGGGTCGTGGTCTCGTTTTCTCTGACCCTGGGTCGTCGTCGTGGTCGGTCGTCAGTCGTGCGTCGTCCGTTGTCCGTCGCTGTCTTCGTATGACCTCGTCCTCGTCGTAACGACCACGACGAGGTCATACGAAGACGGCGACAATGACGGCGACGGCGGCGGCGACGACGACGACGAGGACGACGACGGCGTCGTACGAAGACGTCGAGCGACGGCGACGGCAACGACGACGGCGACGGGTGAGGATCGTCCGGCAGTGGGAGTTCAAGGGAGGGGGGTGGTAGCTAAGCCGCCCCTCGCCTTTTGGAAAAGGAGAGGAGGGGGGGGGGGCAGCTTCCGGCAGGGGGGAGGAAAAATTGAGGGAGGGGGCGGGGGCTTCCGGCAGAGGGGGGTCAAAGGGGGGGGGTAGTTGAGCTCCCCTCCCCTTTCGTAAGGCGGGGAGGGGGGGTGTAGCTTTCCGGGTGCCGAAGGGAGGGGAGGGGGAAGGGACTGCTAAGCCCTCCCCTTTTGGAACCAAAGGGGGAAGGGGGGGTAGCTTCCGGCAGAGGAGGGTCAAGTGGAGGGGGGGGTTAGCTAAGCCCCCCCTCCCTGTGGAAAGGGGGTGAGGGGGGGATAGCTTCGGAGTGGCGAAAGGGGGGGGAGGGGGGGTTAGCTTCAGGGGGGAGGCGAAAAAGGGGTGGAGGGGGGGGGAGCTTCCAGCAGGGGAGGTGGAAAGGAGGAGGGTAGCTATGGGGGGGCCCCCCTCCTTTGCTCCGGCGCTGTGGGCGCGCTCTCTCTAGTAATAATAATACGAATGCGAATAATAATACGAATCATCATCATGATACTCATCATAAGAATGGTAACAATGCACATAATGATACTAATAATAGCAATAATAATATTATTATTGTAAGACGGATAATTATAGTAATATTACTATGAACAATAATGGTAGTAATATTAACACTACCACTACTAATAATAATCACAAGAAGAGGGGGGGAGGAGGAGGAGGAGGAGGAAGAGGACGAGGAGGAGGAGAAGGAGGAGGAGAAGGATGAGGAAGAGGAGGAGGAGGATGAGACGGAGGAGGAGGAGGAGGAGAGGGAGAAGAGGAGAGGGAGGAGGAAGAAAAGGAGGAGGAGGAGGTGCCGCAGGAAGAGGCTCCCCGCCGTGCGCGTCAGCAAGCGCCACCGCGACTCGCTCGCCATGGCGGAGCCCCTGTTTGGCCACGCCGCCGGCGCCGCCGCGGGGACGGCGCCGGCGGACGTTTGCGCTGACGGCAACGGCGAGCACGGCCCGCGCCGCCGCTGTTCGTCGTCGCCGTCGTCGGCCGGCTTCGGCCTCGGTCTCGGTCGGGGTCTCGCTTTCGGCGCCGTCGTCTTCGTCGTTCTCGTCGTCCTCGTCCTCGTCGTCCTCGTCGTCCTTGTCTTCGTCGTCCTCGTCGTCCTCGTCGTCCTCGTCGTCGTCGTCGTCCTCGTCGTCGTCGTCGTCCTCCTCCTCCTCGTCCTCGTCGTGCTCGTCGTCCTTCGTCGGTCGGTCGGTCGTTGTCGCTCGTTCGTAATTGTCGCCGTCGTCGTTCGCCGCCCGCGCCCCGCCGTCGGTTGCCGGCGACGTCGTCACTGCCGCAGAGGCTTCGAGGGCAGGGGCGTGGGGCTGTTTTTGGGCGCTCGGATGCCTCGTGGGCGACGCCCGAAGACCCGACGACTGTAATACCCTACGCCCTGAGACTTGGAGACCCACAGGGCGGCAGCAAAGCGGGGTACACGTCGAGCCACCCTCTCTGGACCCCCCCCCCGCCGGAAGCCCCCCCTCTTACCCCATCTTGTCGCCCCATGGCCCACCGAAGCTCCCGCCCGCCCCCTCCGCCCGACGCCCTTTCTCGCCATCCTTTCTGTTTCGCCCCGCGGAAGCTGCCCCCCCCGCCCCCGTGAAGACGGGGGGGTGGGCAGCTTCCGTGGCGCGAAGGCAAAGGGAAAGGGTCTTCGGGTTAGGGAGGTCCAAAGGGAGGGGGATAGGAGCTTCCGTGGGGGGAGAAGGAGCAGGGGGCCAGAGGGGCCCCCCTCCTTTTGGACCTCCCCGGCTCGAAGACCCCTCCTCTCCTTTGTCGGCTCATGGAAGCAGCCTCCGTCCTTAGATTCCGAGGCCATGCGACTCGAAGCCCCTGGGTCCCGAGACCCTAAAAACTCGAACACCTAAGACTTCAAGGCCCCAAGGCGTGAAGACCCTCAGGCCCTGGGGCCCAAGACCCTAACACCCTGAAGCTCTATGGCTCAGCATCGCCTGTTCTCACGATTCTGGGAGTCGTTCGTATGACAAGGATGAGTCCTTGTGATACGAGAGGGTCGTTCGTACGGTAAGGTGGGCTGTTCTTCCAGGCCATATACCCTGGCAACGTTCTGCCAGGCCGTACTAACATCAAGCATGCGTCTCGCGAGGCGGTAATAGCAAACAGAAGCGCTCTCAGAGACTGTAATACCCAAACAATGCGCCCTGCGAGGGGGAACACTACAACAAATGCGCCCTGCGAATGCAACACGTACAACAAATGCGCCCTGCGGGGCAAACAACAGTGACAACGCAATGGACACACATGTACCAACAGCAAGGACCATGAACAACAGCACAAGTAAACTCTATGACACAACAATGGGCTCAATCGTGACAGCAGTAACACTTTGCAACAACACGTTAACAGGTACGTATGACCAACGATTGATCACCAATAGACATATCCATGTTTCCTACCAAGCAACCTGGGCCAGCACGGAAACGGAAAGAGCGCCGCAGGAACTGGCCCGAGAGGGCTCATGGCACCCTGCGCCCTTGGGAGCTTTGGTGTGAAGAGCTTGTCACGTCGCCGCTCTCCGTTGGGAACCCTGGTGTTCAGAGATTGTTACGTTGCCGCTCGCTCTTGGGAGCCTTGGTGTCACGAGCTGTGTATGTCACCCCGCGCTCTGCGGAGCCTTGGTGTCAAGAGCTTGTTACGTCACGGGCAATTCTGGTCCGTCTTGGGGCCCTTTGGGGCCGTCTAGGGGCGTCTCTGGGGCTTGGGGAGCCTTTTTGGGCCTCTTGGGGCTCTCTTGGGGCCGTCTTGGGGCTCTCTTGGGGCCATCTGGGGCTGTTTGGGGGCCCTCTTGGGCTGGCTGGGGGCCCTCTTATCCAGTTTTCCGCCTCTTTGGGGGGCCTCGGGGGCTGTCTTCGGACGAGCTTTGGAACCTCATGGGCCGTGTTGGGCCTGTCTGGGCCCGAAAAGGCGAGAACCCGAAAAATTGTTAAAAACCGTATGGAAATCAATATTTTCGGCCTCGGGAGGCCCTCTCGAGGGCCATCTGGAGGGTCTCTGGAGCCGTCTCGAAGCTCTCTTGGACCGTCTGGAGGCCATCCGGAGCTCTTTTGGGGCCGTCTTTGGATCGTTTTGGTGCCCTCTTGGGCCGTCTTGGGGCCCTTGAGCCGCTTAATTAAAAAAAAAAATACGTGGAAACGGGCTGTGGATGGCGCCGGCCCCCCGGCGGCTGTTAACACTCAAACACGCGGCCCTCGCCCCCCTGGACCCCTCCCTAGAGGGCTTCGCCCCACCAGAACGTCATCACTCGTACCTCGCTCTTTCCGTTGTACGGGAATAAGCAGATGAGCGTCACGTAATGCGGCACCTTCTTGTGAGTTCTGGACGACCTCGGGACAGCTCCGAGTACCCGAAAACACAGCCAGGACGGGTCACGACCAGGAGCCTGTTTTTTTAGTTCGGGCGATAACGCTCGTGATCGCCCCCGCCCCTCCCCCCCGATCACGTCACGCTGTTTTCCCCGCATGGCTCCCCCTTTTCCTCGAGGGGAGACAGGGAGGATGGGGAGAGCTACTCGAGGAGGAGGAGCAGGAGGAGGAGGAGGAGGAGGAGGAGGATGACGAGAACGAGGAGGAGGAGGGGGGCGACGACAACTCCCACGACTCCGATTGGACGACGACGATGCCAAGGACGACCACGACGACGAACATTCCGACGATGACGACGACTTCGACGACGATGACGATTCCGATGACACTCGAAGCCCCCGATTGGGGGGACACGTGAAGGATGGGGAGGGGGAGGCCTCTGGGATCCTCCTGATCCTCCTCCTCGGGCTCGGGGGTCCGTCTCCTCTGCTCCCTCTCCCTCCTCCTTCTCTTCCTCCTCCCGAGGGCCTGGGGGCTCGAGAAAGGCCTGGGAGGCCGAAGCCCGCCGTGATGTGATCGGGGGGGGAGCACCCCCCCCCTCGCCCCGATCACGCCCGTCATCGCGGAGAGTGTAAGACACGGGCCCCAGCCCCGGAAGGCTTCCAAGAGGTCTGAGAGGGCTCCAGGAGCGCGCCGAGAGAGCCCAAGACCGCCCAAAAGCGTTCCAGTACGACTTATGATGGCGTCGAAGTTGTCCAAGACGGACCCAAGACAGCCTTCGAGGCCTAGAGGCCCTCCAGGTGGCTTTCAAGAGGGCTTCACAGGGCCACAAACATTGTTCTTGTCAATGTGTTTTTGCCGGTTTTCACGGTTCTCACTTCAGGCTCCCCACGGCCCAAGACGATCTAAGAGGCCGAATCTTCTGAAAACAGTCGACAAGGCCGCCAAGAGCGCCCCAAGACGGCCCGAGAGGGCCCCAAGACGGGCCGACAAGGCCCCTTCGTCGCCGTCGCCGTCGCCCTGCCGTCCCCGAGGCGAACGCCCCCACGAACGCGCGGCGGCGGCCGCGGCGGTGTCCCACACCGCCAGGCCCGCGCCGTGATTGGAGGCGGGGGGGCCGCCGCGGCCAGCGCTCTCCGCCGGCGGGGGCTCCGCCCGGCTCCGGGGGGCCCCGGTCAGCCACGCGTTCTGGAGGTAGGGAAGGGGCATGGCAGAAAGGGGTGTGGTGCTAACTTCACGCAAAGGGGAAGCTGGCGAAGTTGTTGCAGATATCATCGCCATTCAATTGGCACCATACCCCTTTATGCCACACCCCTTTCCGACCTCCAAACGCGTAGAACTGGGCAGGTCTGCGGGAACGCGCGGCACACCCGAGGACACCCGGCAATTTGGGGGTCTGGACCCCTCGAGGGCCCCGTTGAGCCGGAGCAACGGTGTCGCCAGGAGGTTTGAGGACCCGACCCTGAGAGAGCGAAGGAGGGAGAGTCTCGACCCACGGCTGCAGCATTCTCCGGCGTGCCCGTGCCCTGGTTTATCCACGACCCCGTTGAGCTGGGGCCCCGGACCCTCCATTCTCAGCGTTCCAAGACTGAGGGCCCTGAGGGCTCGATGTTAAAAGCACTTGAGGACATTCCAACTCGTGCCTCGGGGTATGGTGGCGGGTTCTCCTGAAACCGAAAGGCTCCAACCGCTACAGGATGGCAGAGCACTGACGAACTACAACGTAACGTTATTGTTTCCTGTTCACGACACGCCACTGCAATGACGGTCATGCTTCGGCGCAGTGGTGGCTAGACGAATACGGGGCGTACCGACATAGCATTACAATTGGCGATCTAGCAGAACGTCAAGCACATATAGCACACAAGTGACGCAGACGACCAGCGCGAGGAACATAACCAACGACAGGAGTACAGTACATGAAGACGTCGCGAAATGACTGACCAGCAAAGCCTCCAGTTCAGGCGTACTAGCGACCACAAAGATGCCGAGAATGCCGACGAACACTGCAGCGGCCGAACATGCCGAAGTGAACGCTGCTGCCGACGCAGCTCCTGCTGCCGCCTGCCAGCGCTGCTGCTCGGATCCTCGCTTGTGCGGCTGTCTGCCCGCTCGGCGCTCCGCGCGTCCCCCCTCTCCGGGTGCTGCTGGAGGCGTCCCCCGCGGTCTCTGGCCAGAGGTGCCCCCGGGACTTCCTGGGAGGCCCAGGCGGCCTCCAGAGCACACCCCTCACGAGGCCCCGAGGGCCCCCAGAGTGGCGCGAAGGAGTCCACCTGGGGCGAGGGACACCTCTGGCCACGCCCGACCCACCGAAGGTAAGTCCTCCCGCCGAGCTGGACGGCTCCATCGGGCACCCTGGCCCCTGTCGGCAGAAACGTAGGCTCTTCGCTATCTTCGTGTTGGTTGAACGAGTCTGTAACTTCTGCCCGCCTGCTCACGTGGAGCAGGTCCTGTGAATTGTGTTCGAATTCATGCTGTCTCGCTTTGACCAGTTACAAGCTGCATGCAATGTCCCCGCTGGGTCCGCGTCTGCGGCGAAAAGCTGCGGCTACGGCACCCCACTTTTTGGGCCGCGTTTTGCCGTTCTCTCCTGTGCCCCTGCGCTACAAGCCAGCGCTACTCCACCCTCACGCGCAGACCACACTGTCGTAGTGCGTAGGGCGGACGGGGCTAGGACGAGGATAAATCCGTTCCAGGGCGTTCTGGAACGCTCTCAGAGCGTTCCAGAACGCTCTGAGAAAGGCCGCGGCGCCCGAGACATCCTCCATGGCCGCCAGATCTCAGAGAATCTCGATTCGCCATCACCCGAATTTACCCTCGCCCAGGCTTCGTCTCAGCAGGTTGCTCTGCCCTGTCCCCGACTCCTCCGATGGCATTGTTCGGCGCTCGTGTCTCGCCGTCTCGGCAATCGCAGGGCAGCAACCGGCATCGCTTGTGTGCGTGCGCGCCGCCTTGCCGTCTTCGTACGCCTCCGCGCCAACCCTGTCGGGCCTGCATGAGCTGTGCAGGCAGGCCGCGTGGAGGAGGGGCGGTGCAGGGTCGGGGGAGGGCAGGGAGGAGCCGGAGGGCGGAGAGCAGGGGCGGCAGCTGCTTTGCTCTTGCACCCGCGACACTCCGCGACCCGGCATTTGTCGCGCAGCTAGTCCTCCGACCCTTTCGACGGGGGCGCCCAGGAGGGGGGTAAGGACCAGGAGTCACCGAGCGCGTTCCTCTACTCGCAAAGTGCGTACCCGCAAACGTCCGAAAGGGCACAGGCCTGCCCCGATGTGATGCATCACAGATCCCCCATGGCGGACCCAGGCCACTTTGCGAGCAGTTGCTTTGCGAGTGGTGGAACGCGCTTGTCTAGGGGGAGGGGTGGACATCACGGCCCCTTCCTCTCTCCGCGCGTCCCCTGGCCCCTCGGGCCACGATGCGCGGAACCTCCTCCTGGAGGGGAGGCACCGGCCCCCACCTCGCCCACTCATCACGAAGCGTGGCCCGGGCCCCGCCCAGGCACGTGCGTTTCGGCGATGTACCGCCGATTCCAGGTCACTGGTCCCCCCCCCCCCTGAGCCAGTCTCCCCCCCCCCGCCGTTCCCCCTCGGCGCTCCCTCTCCTCTTGATCTCGGCCGCGCTCGGATTCGCCGACGGTGCCCGGGCAGCGCGCGCCTTCGCCTTCCGTGGGGCCGGGGCGGCGCGGGTCGTCTCGACCGCCTCTGGGGGCGGGGGGAGGGGACGCCGACTGGACAGCTGGCGCGAGGGTCAAGCGCAGCCCCAGTTCTGGAGGGGTCCCTCTTGGGTAGTTGAAATGAGGTACCTGGGGATCCCAAGATTCCAACCTACTCTGGGCGCCTTCCTGCTGCAGTCTTCGAGTGGTCCTCCATTGTCATTCCTCTGTATGGGGCGGGCGGGAAGCAATCTTCTTTCTCAACGCCTTCCTGCCTCATGCTTCTACCCGCACTTCTTCCGATCGATGAATGCAGTCAAGACGCCTAGATCACCTGCGGGGGCGCGAAGATCAGCATGCTTCTTGCGTCGTGGCCCAGGCCAGAGCGACTGCTGCTCTCCAGCGGGGGGAAGGGGCGGCGCCAGCATGCGAGGGCGCAAAGATGACCGCGCATCGCGGTGCCTGGCGCGCAAAGTTGGGTGACCTGCAGGCGCTGATGGGGCCGTCTCAGGCTCAGGAGGGGCTCCCGTTTCCGGACCGCTCCTCAGGGCTTCGGGGCGGGGGGCCCGCTCGTTGGGCCGAGGCTCGCCGTGGCCAAAAAGGCCCCCTTAGGGGTCGGTTTTCGGAGCCTCGGCGGGCGGTGGATATGGACATATTCGGGCCCCCAGGGGCCGAAATGTATCCATATCCACCGCCCGCTGGGGCACCAGGACGTCGGTTCCCAGGTGGTGGATATGGATAAGTCCCCGCCTCGCAAGGACGGGGAGAAATCAGTTCCAGAGCGTTCCGGAGTGCTCTCAGAGCATTCCGTAGCGCTTTGGAACGGCCGCGGCGCCCAGTAGATCCTCCAAAGCCGTTAGATCTTGCAGGTCCCCGATTTCTCCCGATTCGATCTAGTCCCGGTTCTGGTTTCGTCTTACTCTCCGTCTCTTGTCCGGCGTTCCTCATAGTAGGGCGACGATTTGCACCCATCTTCTCCCATCTCGGACTCTCCACATTGGAGATCTCTCCGTTCGGAGCACCGCCATGGGCCCGCGGGCCCATGGGGACGGGGCTCGTGTGCTTGACCCGCTTTCTTGCAGCCATGCTTCGACTGTGTGCGGGCCCCAAGAGTATACACCACCACCACTTCCTTTCCACCTCCCTCCTCCACCATCCTTTTCCCCTCCTCTTTCCTGAGCGAGGGAGGGGGTGAGGGAGGTGGTGGTGGTGGTGTACATTCTTGGGCCCCGTGCTGTGTTCCTCCAGAGGCCCCAAGACCTCTGGGAGCGGAGGCTCGACGTCAGCTTCTCGGAGCTCCCGTTCCTCTCCCTCCCTCCTGGAGGGCGGCTCCTCCGGCGTGGAGGCCTCGCCGGAAAGGCGAGGGGTCCTCCAGGAGGGAAGCAGGGAGCCCTCCAGGAGGCCTCGCCAGGAGGGCGAGGAGTCCTCCAGGAAGGAGCGGAGGAGGGGCCCCGAGGGAAACGGTCCCCAGGAACCAGGGCCTCCCCCAGGAGCAGCTCTCCCTCGCCAGCCGTCTCCTCGGGGGCCCAGGGCCGTGGAGGGCCCGAGGTCGACCCAGGAACCCGGGGCCCCTTGGCCTCCGGGACCTGTTTCCTTCGGGCCGAAGGCCCCCTGGAGGCCTCGCGATGCCGAGGTGCGCGGCCGGCGCCCCCCCCCCCGGGTCGTGCTGGAGGGCGGCAGCTAGACGCCTGCACCGATCCTGGCCAGGCTCGCCTCGGGCCGGGGGTTGGCTCGTGCGCCGTCCTTCCCCGGCCAGGCCAGGGTCGCGGCATGCGCCGGCCCTGGGCCCAGGATCGGCCTGGGCAGGATCGGTGCGCTCAGAGAATCAAACAACGGCGCAATGGCGCAGAAACTTTCGGATGTTCCACAAAGTGTATGTGCACACGCGCACACACATCTACACACAACACATGTGTATATATATATGCACTATATATACACACTTGTATATATGTATATGTATATGGATCGTTGGTTGTTTCTATGGGCAGGATGGCTGCAGGTGCACAGCTGGCGCTCTCCAACACTGGTCGCGCGGCTACTCCGTGTGTTGCCGCGAGGGCGGCAGCGCGCGCACGCGCGGCTCGGCGCCGACGGCCCTCGACGCCCCCCTCGGGCCCCCCTCCCCGCCTCGCCGCCCCTCCCCCCCCCTCGGCCTCGGCGACAGGGAGGAAGGCGAGGAAGATTACGGCGCCGGCTGCAGGCTTAAAAGGGTACGTACCCAAACCGGACAGTCGGACCGGGGTATAGGATCGAGGCCGGTTTGGGGAGGGTACCCCCATGGTGTTCTTCGTGCTTGTTGGACGTTTTGGTGCATCTCGGGGAGGGTACCCTCGGATGTTCTGTTTGTTTGGGCCGACGGAGGGTCCCATGTTCTTGAGGGATGTTCTTATGGCCTGGGTCTGACTGTATCTGAGGACGAGGCGGCCGTCGGAGAAATATGGGAGGCTAGCCTGGGAAATGCAGGAGATAGAGCTCTTCAACATCATCAGAAAAGCCACGTCTTCGTCAACACAATGTCTGCCAGTTGTCTTGAATTTCTGTGGTCGGGCACTTCCTCACCACCACCCTCATCAGCGCCATCGCATCACCGTGGTGATCGCCATCGTCATTCGCCCTCGTTTGTCGCCATCAGCAGCAAATCAGTGTCGTCGCCGACGCATGGACATCGTCATCGTCATCGTCGTCACCAGCATCGGCGCCATCATTGCCCTTGCCGTTGTCATGGCCATTATCGCCACAACCATCGCTACTCTCATCATCGTTGTCGCCGTTGTCGGCGTCATCATGATACCGCGCCCGCCCGAACCACCGACCCGCACTGAAGTGCCCGCGCGCCAACGCGGCATTTGAGACGCGTCGGGAAGTTCCAATCGGCAAGAACCAGCGCGACTGCATCAGTTGTGCCACACCATCTGGTTGCTCCGCGCGCGAGCGTTCGCCGCGGTCGCAAAGTCGCGCTTCCAAGTGCCAATCGGCAACCGCAATTGTGGCCGTATGGGTTTTGCCAACCATGTTGCGGGTTAGAGGGTGGGATGATTGCGCGAGCTGTGGACTTGGCAATTCATGAGTTGACAAAAACAAGTTGTACCGCCTAGCGTGCCCTCCACGCAGCTTGCGCATTCCCAACGCAAAAATTGTGAGTATAGTACACGCTGGCGAACGTTTTCTTGCATTGAGGCGGTGTGAACCCGTTCCCGAGGGGGGAGAACGGAGTTTGGACGAGATGCAACGTCAAATCAAACTCACCCAGAAGGCGACACGCCGGAATGCGTCCGCTGTTGCCTGGCAAATTCTCCGTGGACGCGCTGCAGCACATCCTTCGAGTGTATTGCGATCGGGCATGGCTGCATTGCGCAAATCTGTACGTCGGGGTGTTCCGTCGTCTCTTGCTGTCTCCCATGCGCCCGCGCGTCACAGACTTGAGTGAGCGCGTGTACATGAACTTGCGCAGCAGTTTGAGGGTGCGGGCCCAGACCACTCGGCCACGCGCAGAGGGGGGCGGGAGGAGGGCGGAAGGCTTCTAAGAGGCCTTCCCCCCTCCCCCATACCCCCTTGTGCGCGCCGCCGAACCACAGGCGGAATGTGCTGTTTTTGTTCGACCGGGGCGTTTGGGGCCGGTCGGGTGGCATTTTGAGGGCTCTCGGGCCATCTTCGGCAGTCTCGGCCTGTGGCCTCTGCGGCCCATCTTGGGGGCGCTTTGGGGCCATATCCTTAAGGGCTTGTGGACTTTTCGCCAATCGACTTGTGGGGATCGAGCCAGATAAATCCAGGTAAATGCAGATAAGTCGAAGTAAATTCAGGTATATCCAAGTCAATCGAGATAAATCCGGGTAAATCTAAGTAAATTCAGAGATCTCCAGGGAAAGTTGGAGCAATTCGCGGCCGCTCTAGCGCGAGTCGAAAGACGGCAGAAGTTGTTAAGCCTTTAACGACCATAGTGGGGGTCTGTTGGACCATGCTGGACGATTTGGGCGGCATCGCGGGGCCTTTGGAGGTCATCTCAGTGCTGTCAAAACTGGGACTCTGGAGGGCAGTCCTGAAACGACCTTGGGATATCTTTGAAAAAGCGTGGGACAGGGGAGAAACATTGAGACGCGCAGTTTTTGTCCACGTTGTGCCCTCTCGGGGGCGTCTCGGGATGATCCTGGACGCATCTTGAGGCTATCGTCGGCCGTCTTGGGCTCTTGAAGCCCTCTTCGGGGGGCGTCTTCGAGGCCTCTTGGGCCGTCCTGGCCGTGGGATGGCGTCCTGTGGAAATGTCAGGGCAGCATGGACCGGCCAGGAATTGAAGGGATCCCCTCCGATGTTTGCTCGACGGCCTGAGCTCCCCGGAAGACAGTAGAAGGGAGACAGCATCGGAGGCACAAGGCAAGCGCAAAAGATATCACGAAGAACACAAGACATCAGCAGTCCGGCAGGGAGCTTCACAGCCCGGCGCCCGCAGCGTTGCCGGCAGATCTTTGAGCCCGCGGGCTGGACAGAAAAGACGTCGATTGGAGATCTGGGGGTACATTCCCAACGTCAGTGTTTTTCTGCACGGCCTCCGCATGCAGCCGCGCTTTGCTCATGTGTGTCGCAGTGCGCGCGCGTCTGTCAAAGGAAGCATTGGTGAGTGATTTGCTTAGCGCGGTGCGGTTGCGATCCTTCATTGCACGTTGCGCGTGCCACGGACATTTCGACATGCATATTGGTAGGGAATGCGCTGGGGCCTTCTCCCTCAACTCTTGCTGTATTCCATTCGCTGACCTTTTTGCATGCTTGCGGTGCCCAAATGTGGCCCGTGAGTCTAACGTTTTGCAAAGGACGCGACTGACAGTAATAGTCTGAAGTATCTAGGCTTTCGTACGGACAATGCCATGCCGAGGGCGGCTAAGTAGGACGATCTCCTGGGGAAGGGGGATTTACATGTGTCAATGTGCCAACGCGTAAATGGCGATGGTGATTCCGATGATTTGTTGATGATGGGGATGTTTCTAAATGGCGACAACAACAGCCATGATGATGGGTGCTGAGGGTTGATAGGCAGCCACTATGACGATTGAGTGTTGTCGATGACGGTGGCTGTGATGCGTAGTAAACGGGCGGGAGGCACATGAATCGAGGCGACGAACCCAACTAGACATTTGATGATGTTTGATGGTGGCTTACGCGGAGTGACGATGGTGACTACAGGCCATGGTATGATCGGCCGCCGAGTGCGCAACTTGTGGCGCCATCCCTACGCAGACCGTTTCATTCTCGGGCGCCGAGTGCGCAACTTTTGTCGCCACCCGGTAGCACGCCGTTTTGTTTTCGGCCACCGAGTGCTCCGCGTGCGCGACCTGTGGCGCAACCAAGTGCGCAACTTACGGCGCAACCCATGTATCGGGCAATCAATGGGCAATTTGCGGCGCGCCCCGTGGAGATGGCGAAGCCTGAAGCGCGACCAATGGCGCAACTCATAGATGGTGCACCTTATGATGAAACCCGCGGGTGGGCAACCAACAGCGAAGCTTCGGTGCCCGCGTCTGCGATCTTGCGATGTGACCAGGGATGGGGACGCACCAAATCTGTTGCTGGTTGCAGACATGTTTCCATGGAAGCCTCGATGTGGCTGTGCCTAGGTTATGCTCGCTGTTTGGACTGGCGGCGAGGCCCAAGCGGCGAGTTGTCGTGTGATTGTGTTGATGTTGGAGGAGGAGCAGGAGGAGGAGGAGAGGAGGAGTTGAGTAAACCCATAATGCACCTACGATGCTAACCCACATCCTCATGTCCCAAGTTCCCTCCGCATCAGTCGCTACAACCACTACGTTTGATGACTTGAAGTATCCGCGCGGAAGATGACCGCCCCATGCGCTTATCATTCAGCGAGAGCCGTGCTTTGGAAAGGAAATCCCACCCGTGTAACAACTAATGTCAGCTAGCGTTGACTCCAAATAGATAGGGGGACAGGAGGAGGACGAGAGGAGGATGGGAGAAGGACGAAAGGAGGACGGGATCAGGACGGGAGGAGGACGGAAGGAGCAAAATCAAGCAAGCGCAAGCAAGCAAGCGGAAGCAAGCAATCGCAAGCGAGCAATAACAAGCAAGCAAGAACCAGCGATCAAGTGCAAGCAAGCAAGGGCAAACAAGATCAAGCAAGCGATAGCAAGCACGCAAGAGCAAGCAAGTAAGCGCCACTGGATAGAGAGGGGGGGGCCATTGGAAAAAGGGGGGGGGCTCTGAAGGAGGCTGGGGCAAGGGCGAGAGATAGCGAGCGTTTGTCCGCGGCCGTTTGTGCTCAAGCGGCCGACCGCCAATATATGACTGCGCCTCATCTTGAGACACACTACTTGCCACTGGGACCGCAGACATCTTCGCTTGACATGGACCGTCGCTCCCGCGACGATCTCCTACTTTTGGGACGACCGCTACTACGGTACAAAGTTGGATATGATATGGGCCTCGCCTTAGGCGACGCTTCTGGTTGGGCCTCCCAGCCCCTTTCAAACTTGGTGGCGGAGCTGGATATAGGTGGTCAGCTCTAGCTCTACTCCTCACCATCCACGGCACTCTCTGGTGGACCACTGACATGGTGGAACATCAGGATGCAGTGGGTTTGTTCGGAGGAATGTACATACTTACGCACAACCGCAAGGACACTTGCAGCGCTACCTCCGTTCTCGCGTAGGCCTCTTACATGAGTCCCAATTCCCTGCGCCACTGCACTCCTGAAGTCCACCTTCCTACCCCACTTGGAAACTTTTTTAAATATACAAATCATGGTAACATGCGATATGACCTTGTGCCGCCTCCACCCCCACGCAGGTTAACCACAACACATCACAACCCCCAGCCGCGAACATCCGACCATGACCAAGGGGCCATTGGATTGGTATTACCATATTTGGCCTCCAGTGGGTCGCTGTCGGGCGTGCCGTGGGGCGCATGCAGCGTGGCGGAGACGACGCACGCACTACGGGCCCCCACTGGGACCCTGCCGGCAATGTTTCTTTCCGCGAATTCGTTCGCGAGGTACACACCTGGATCGACGTGGCCACAGGCACCGTGACCCCATCCCAATAGGCCGCAGCACTACAGCGTGGTCTGGGAGGGTTCGCGAGGACCATAGCCATGAGAGTACCTTCTGGAATCATCAACTTTGGCGTAACATTGGTGGTCGCCACGCTGACGGCGCCACCTACATCATGTTCCTCCTCAACAGTAAA